TAAAGCTCTCTTATGTAGTGAGAGTGTAACTAAACCAAATACAATAACCAATATAAACCAAAATAAACCAGAGATATACAATCTCTGATACTCCCCCTCAAGATGGAAGAGACTTTCATCTTGGACTTGAGAATTCCATGGAAATTGGAGGGGCTTGGAACTGAAGTCACACTGCACTTCTGGTGGTTTCGGTGATGAGCCATAGAGGATTTCAATCCATGTACAAAATTGACTAGAAATAGCCACAACCATAAATCCAAGAAAATCACAAAACAATTCTGTCTTTGTATAAAGACCTTAGATGCGGTTGTAGCAGACTCTGTCACCAGCAACTCAAGTGTTGCACACAAGGCAAACACCAACTCACGGTGAATATTTGTACTGTTACATCCAAGCATAACGAAGAGAAAGCACTTCAACCAGAGAGACATCTTTTATTCAAAGCATAATCCCTTTCCAGCAAAAACACAATCAACTTCATGAATCAAAGTAGCCAATCCAGGCCAGATCTCCCTCTGTCTTGAAACACAACTTTGTGATCCAAATATGACATGTAGATCTGACCATTTTGAGGTAAAACCATTCATCTTCTTCAAACATGATAGTATCATAACCTCCATACCAATAGTGAATGGAGATAATTGTTCCATTTGTCTCATATGTGCTGAAACATATGATTGAAACTGAAATAAAATCTCAAGTACTGGAGAACTCCATTCCATTCGCCTCATCTGTGCTTCAACACAAGAGTGAAACGGAAGTAATCTCTCAATTAATGAAGACCTCTGTTCTATTAATGAAGACCCCTGTTCCATTCGCCTCAAATGTGCTTCAACACAAGAGTGAAACTGAATTAATCTCTCAATAACCAAGATCAATAACGCCTCAAAACGGCAAGCTTCTGACTTGACAAAGAGGCTTGAATGCTGAACTAGAGCAGCAATTAGAGTGGCAGAAAGGCCATCAAATGAACCATCATCAAGAGGATCTATCACTTGCAATCCTCCAAAGTTCATGAATATCTTCACATCGATGTCACAAACCAGCGAATCCAAGTAAAGAAAGCCATAGTAATTAGCTTCACAGAGGTCTAAGTTGCTTATATCAATAGCAAACTTAAGATTCTCCCCCTGTCTAGAAAAATCTTGATCTTGAAAGCCATCTGCCGAATCTATACAGAGTGCATGAACAACACCACAGTATACAGTAGATGACTCAATAAAGAATCTGAATTTTGTGAACTTGCAGAGGTCACAAAGGAGAATCAAGCAATCCTTGTTGCATTCTCTTAAAACCAGCTGCACATATGTTCTGAATGTGAAGACTAAATGTTGTAGCAACAGTACTAACCATCCGTCATCAATTCCATATTCTAGATTTTGTTGAAAGATTTCTAACCAAATTTCCATTTCTCTAGCAACACATCTACATTCCGATAATCTCCATATCGCAACATCATCATCAACAGAAAGATATCCAGAAGTTATATGCTTAGAGAAAGAATTTAGAAACCACATACACGCCACAGTAGATCGTAAATCCGGTGGCCGTGGAAGAGATCCGTATAGAAAATCCAAATCTGTCATCAATTTCAACCATGGATTTTCTCCAAATAGATTGGCATCGACAACAATCTCTCTCGGTGAAGCAATACGCTCAAAAAGGCCAGGATACAACGAATAGAAATCCATCACAGAAGCAATCACAGATCAAGCACAACGATATCAATCACACCGTGATAAATCGAAGCAACACTTGGATCGACTGAATTTCAGGAAAACAAACTCAACAAAAGAGCTGATTAAAGTCGAAGATATACCTTCACGAATGAAAGAATTCCGAACAGATCGGCGGAGCAATCATGAGCTGAAACTTGGAAAAATCCAAGCACAATTCGGCAAAATAACCGAAGAAAATGATTGAAATCGAATCAATCAGGAGAAACGATCTGGAATAAGGCTGAACTGCCAAGAATCTCATACAAAATCGAGCTCAATACGGCGGAATAACCGAAGAGCAAGACAAAATTAACGATTGACGAGAAATCAAGGTCAAAGAACGGAAGAATGAAGCAGAATCGAGTGGGATTTTTGATTCTCACTGCTCTGATACCATGTTAGTGTTGGAGAAGGTGAAGGAGAACGAAGAAGATAAGTCGTAAAAGTTTGTTATTCTCCTTAATCTGATTGTTACAATAAAGCTCTCTTATATAGTGAGAGTGTAACTAAACCAAATACAATAACCAATATAAACCAAAATAAACCAGAGATATACAATCTCTGATAGTGGAGAAGCTTCAAGTTTCAGAAGACTAGATCTCCCGTCACCGGAGATAGTTTGCGCCGGTGCACCTCCGTTAATACTCTTCTTCCTCCTCTCGTCACTCATTTTTTCCTTCGTCGGTGAATATGCTGAAGAAATAAGCTAAAACCAGAAAAGAAAAGAAGAGAAGAGAAGAGACGAGAAACCGTAAAGCACGGCGAGGACGAGTCGGGGTACAAAGTACATATATACTCTCTCTAGTCAGAGCACACAACTCAGTAAAATAAGAATTTTGGTGTGAAACGTCGTAGTTTCGTATACTTTGTTCCAGGTTAGTGTCTTCGTAACTCAGGCCCATTATACTGCATTTGTCATCGAAACCATTTTTTCCCCTCTTATATTTTGTTTATTACAACAATAATTGTTCGTGTCGGATCTCGACTTGGGGTTAAGGTTAATATAACATACTTATCGAGGTGAAAAGCAGAAAACAAAAATTAGACAAAAAGTCTGAGTGCATTCGGATCACACACCAAATATCACTTCAAATGAAAAGCCAAAAAAAAAATCGAAAGTAGAAGAACAAAACGGTATGAATCGACTTAACACTGACGTATTTAAGCATTAATTACTACAATAATATTTACGTCTGAATGTATTTCAGTTCTATTTGTTTCAAAGATTAATAATTAAAGGTTGGAAACAGGAACATATTAACTATATGTTGGAGAAACTAAACTTTCTGTTCTTATTTTCGGAATAGTGTTATTTCATTTTCGGAACATATAATCAGTATGTTCATTTATAGATATTTTATGGAAATTCAATAGATTATACCAAAATTTCAAGAGTGAAATAAATTACAAAACTTAGGAAAATAAATAAATATGTCTTGGTCGAATTTTTTATCTTGTAATGTTTTCTTCACAGCGAAATCTTGAGACCCTTACAAATTTTGAATGTATTACTATCCATTATCCAATAAGTTTTTATTGCATTTTACTAAAAGTTATTTTGAAAAATAGATGATACATCACTTAATATAGTATAGTTTTGAGTATATTTTATTTTGCATCTATTTTGGTTAATGTTAGTGAATCGTATTTTCGATATTGAAGGGAAGTGGTCTTGAAAACAAATTGCCTTAGTCAGTAGCCACCAACCTCCAGGGGCGGGCCACCATTCACACATGTTTTTTCAACCAACATATTTTAGATGAGGACTCGGATAATTTTTCAAGAAGAGTGTATTTCTCTAATATTTTTAAGGATAAATGTAACCCGCAAATAGTTTACTTACTAAAAATTTTAATAGATCTAAAACTTAGTACTATTTCTACTTGCTAAATAATAGCGAATATATTTCTAATGAGAGTCAAATTCATAGGTGAAAGAGTGGCACATTATCTTCAAGTCATTTTACCATTAGTTACCACCACTTACGTAGTTAGATTATCTATTATGAAAATTACAATTTTTCGTTCTAGCAAATAAGTTAAGATTGAGATGTAATTTTACACATGATAGTTCTATACTTCTATTTAAACCTGATTGAACTAATCTTCCTTGTTGATCCCAGCTAAAATCGTATATGCATACAATATGTATCATTATTTACGTGGATTTAAAGTCTTCATGTCTTGATAATGACATCAAAATCATAGAGGGTTGTGGTTGAAGTTAATTAGAGACCAAAGTGGAGTATCTCAATGAGAGATACCAACTATACCCTTGCTTTCCTTTGATTAACAATCCAACTAATTTATTTAAGAAATTTGGGAAATTAATTAGAGACCAAAGTGGAGTATCTCAATGAGAGATACCAACTATACCCTTGCTTTCCTTTGATTAACAATCTAACTAATTTATTTAAGAAATTTAGGAAACCTTGAATCACTCTTTTAATAGGAAAAAATTAATTAGCACAGAGAAGAAAAAGTTTTTCAATCTAAAAAAAAAAGGTAAAATTATGTAGCCACGAATATAGCCTTAGCCACCACATGGCACATGTGTTATTATTTTATTTTTTTTGGTTGGAAAGAATTTATCACTCAGGCAAGACCCCATTACATAATGAATGTGTTAGTTTAATTAAGTAAAGGGTCTACTGTCCATTACAATACATAATTTGATAATAGTACAACACATCATTTTTCTTCATATAGGTTAACATTTATCTTAAATTAGAATTTAATCCATGCGTCCAAATAAAATAATTTTTCATAAATTAAATATGAAATAATTTTTTAAAAAATAAGTTAAATGTTATTAACTTAAATATGCTTAATTTATGAAGATTGAATAAATATTTGATAATATGTTTAACTCGGTAATAAGGATGTTGGGTAGCATATTCTAAAAATATTCTGTTATAATAGTATAAATAAAATTGTTGCTAGTAAGCACGATAGTTTAGAAAAACATTACATGTATTGATCCGGTAACCTTTTGCAATAGCATGCATGGAAAAAAACTTGAATTTAACTAAATACTGTGTTTAACCTAATTAGCTATCTACGTCAATATAAGAAATTACATTCCTAAAACATCCAACTCGTTTATTTTGGTTTTATTCTCTCATTCATCTAATAATATCTATTTACGTCAATATACCAGTTGAATATATTATAGTGTGAACAAATAAAAAATAAATAAATAACATTACAAAACCCGCCCAAAAAATATAAAACAAGGTGGCCACGTTCCTCCAAATAAATTAGCCTCCTCTTTCTCCTCTCTCACACACACACTCTCTCTCTCATAGTCTCATACTCCTCTTTTTCTCTTTTTTTTCTTTCTTTTTTTTTCAGAACCTCTTGTCTCCAGAAATGGTAGAGACAAGTTTCTACATCGGAATCATAGGTAAACACCCTTCTTCGCACGTGTGCTTATATCTCTACATGTATATACACTCGTGTTCACGAATTATGACAATACCTCTTGTAATTTGTGTTTGACGCAGGAAATGTAATCTCCATACTCGTCTTCCTCTCACCAGTGTGAGCTCTCTCTCTAGATTTTGGAAGAAGTAACAAAATTTTAAGATTTGATATATACATATATATATATATATATATATATATATATATATATATTATTACTGATCGATTGGTCCAACATACAAAAACTCAGGGAGACATTTTGGAAGATAGTGAAGCGAAAATCGACGGAGGAGTATAAGAGCTTGCCGTACATCTGCACGTTGTTAGGATCGTCGCTATGGACATATTACGGCATAGTCACTCCCCGAGAATACCTTGTCTCCACCGTCAATGGCTTTGGTATGATATATGATACATCTCAAGGTTTTTATTTCATTTTCATTTTTCTTTTTTATCATAGATATGATATATGTGAAACTTTGAGAAAGATGAGATCTGAAAGATGAGATCTTTTGTGTGAAAAATACTTTTCTCATTAATTTACAAGAATGGCTTTACAAAGACTTATATAAAGACTATAGAAGGATCCAGAACTAGGGTATTCTTATCTACAGGTTACAGCTGTAAAGATGTTTAGCTAATGCAGACAGATTGGAGAGTCTCAAAACGGTTTCGTAGCTGGAGCTTGTCTTTACTCTGCATTTCCTCTTTTGCAAGTACGGAAGACCAGAGTGATGACGTCTCTGAGCTCTTGTAGTTGGGCCTACTCTTTGGGCCTGTCTTCTGGACATGCAGAGTTGGGCTTGGGTCACTCACAGCCCCCCTCAAACTCGGGGTGGTTGACTCGGCAACACCGAGTTTGAATCGGAGATCCTCGAAGGTTTTTTGCGGCAACGGCTTCGTGAAAATGTCAGCAAGCTGCATGTTCGCCGGAATATGTTTTGTCTCAATCAAGCCCAAGGCAACTTGTTCTCTGATGTAGTGGTAGTCTGTATCAAAGTGTTTCGACCTGTTGTGAAGAGCAGGGTTCGTACTTAAATACACCGCAGAGAGATTATCACACCGGAGCAATGTCGACGTCCGTTGGGTAATGCCGAGGTCACGAAGCAGAAAAGAGAGCCAGTTGAGTTCTTGGGCAACTGCAGTAAGGGCTCGATATTCCGCCTCAGTCGAGGATTTGGACACCGTGGCTTGACGCTTAGCGGACCAAGAGATGAGATTCGAACCGAGGAGAGTGCAAAAACCAGTCGTCGATCGTCTCGTCTCCTTACATCCTGCCCAATCACTGTCACTGAATGCAGTGAGGTGGAGGTTCGAATCTTTTCGGATATGAAGCCCAAGTCTGGTCGTTCCTTTGATGTAACGGAGAATACGTTTTAGGAGACCAAAGTCAGAGATTGTCGGGGAATGCATTCGCTGACAAACGTAGTTGACAGCATACTGAATATCCGGTCTTGTGATCGTGAGATACTGTAGTTTTCCAGCTAGACTCTGAAAATATGTAGGTTCTGGGAATAGCTCTGTATTTAGATCATCAAGACATTGAGGAAGAGGTGTAGGCATCGGATTACATTCCGACATAGATGCTTGATGCAGGATGTCAGTTGCATACGCTGCCTGATGGAGAAAGAGTCCCTGAGGTGTTGTCTCAATTTCAATGCCCAGAAAGTACCGAGGGGCTCCGAGATCTTTCATAGAGAATCTTTGATTGAGACAGGAGAGGAGGTCTCGGAGGAGAGCATCATCACTTCCTGTGAGGAGCATATCGTCGACATAAAGCAGAAGGACCATGTATTGACCGTTTTTGTTGTAGGTGAAAAGTGATGGATCAGACTTGCTGCAGATGAAGCCAAACTCGATAATATATGCACTGAATGTGTCGAACCAGGCTCGAGGTGCTGCCGTGTAGAAGGCGTCTACCCAGTATTTGAGAGGAGTGTGGCTGTGAAACAACATCGAGAGACCAAGTTCCACCAGATGTCTGTGTTTCCTCTCGGCGATCCCATTTTGTTCTGGTGTGTAAGAGCATGAGATAAGATGCTTGATCCCATGTTTAATAAAATGTTGTTTTATCTGTGTATTTGTAAATTCTCCACCACCATCACTCTGAAAAACCTTTATCTTAGTATTGAATTGATTTTCAACCAAGTTCTGAAAGCCCACAAACACAGAGTTGAACTCAGACTTAGCTTGCAGAGGATAAAACCATGAATATCTAGAACAATCATCCACAAAGATAGCATAATATTTAAACCCTTGGTTTGATACAACTGGTGAAGGCCCCCATAGATCACAGTGAACTCGATCTAGAGGATGCAAAACACGAGAATTTGAAGAAAAAAACTGCAGTTTAGAACTCTTCCCCATCTGGCAAGGCTCACAAACGAGGGATGTGCTGCTCTTATTGATTTCTATCTCCTTGCTGTTCTTGAGTAGTTGGAGAATCTTCGAGTTTGAATGACCTAGACGATGATGCCACACTGGTTCAGAAGCTGCACGATGTCTGTTTGAGTAGAGGGCAACAAACTCTGGACTCTCCAACACATAGAGACCATCACGCCGAGTTCCCCTTGACACCACTTTCTGATTTTGGAGGTCAATCACACACACCTTCTTAGCATCAAAGTAAACTCCACAGGGATAATCATCACATAATTTTGATACTAATAATAGTGATTTCTGAATATCCGGACAGACAAGAACCTCATTCAAAGGGATCGTACCTGAGGGTGATGTCAAGGTAGTAGACCCAACGTGAATGATGGGTAGGTATGTCCCATCGGCAACCAGAATGGTGTCATTACCTGCATAGGGTGTGGCGTTTTGAAGACCAGAGGTAGAGGCAGTGACATGAGCAGAGGCTCCTGAATCAGGATACCACTCTTTCCCATTTGCAACAGAGACTTGCAGAGCCGAGAACACTTGATTGTTTTTGGAGCTTTGATAGTTGTTGTCAAACCGGTTGTAGCAATCCAAGGCAGAGTGGCCAATGCGACCACAGATCTGGCAAGTCGGACGGTTGCCGTTGTTTGTTGAGCTGTTCTGATGCTGAGTGAAGCCTCTACCACGAGAGGAATAGCCTCCACGCCCACGGTACTGGTTAGAGCGGCCACAACCTCTGTTTTGTTGCTGATTGTAGTTGTTGTTCGTCTGCTGTGCCTGAAAGGCCATTTGAGGGGTGACATTGGAACTCTCTTCGTAGGACTGAAGTTTGGAGTCGAAGCTCTGCACATCGGAGACGACATCATTGAACGTTGGTGTGGGAAGCTTGGTGAGAGAGCTTTGGATGACTGTGGAGATCGGATCGTACTCTCTCCCAAGACCGTTGAGAAAGCCAAAGATCTTCATAGACTCATCAACAGGCTTCCCAATCGAGCTAAGAGCATCACAGATAGCCTTGAACTCACGGGTGTAGTCAGCAAAGGTCTTGCCTTTTTTGTGCAGCAGCTGAAGACTACGACAAAGCGAGAACTCACGAGCGACAGAGCTTTTATTGAAGTGCTCTGCCAGCGAAACCCAAACATCTCTGGAGGTGAGGAAACTGTGAACAGATCCGAGGACTTCTTCAGACAGGGTACCAAACAACCACGACCGGACAAGTTGGTCAGTGCAGTACCATGATTCATACACCGGGTTGGGTTCGACGTTGTTGTTGACAGTGACTCTGGTTGCTGGTGGGGCAGTTACACCTCCATTGACAAAGCCGATGAGTTTTTGACTGGACAGGAGAGACTCAAACTGTGTCTTCCACAACAGGTAGTTGGTGTCATTGAGCTTCAAGGTAACAGAGCTCAAGACATGGACGTTACTGGGAAAGGGATATGTTTGAAGAGGATCGGCCATTGATACCTGTTAGGGTTTACAATGGCTCTGATACCATGTGAAACTTTGAGAAAGATGAGACCTTTTGTGTGAAAAATACTTTTCTCATTAATTTACAAGAATGGCTTTACAAAGACTTATATAGAGACTATAGAAGGATCCAGAACTAGGGTATTCTTATCTACAGGTTACAGCTGTAAAGATGTTTAGCTAATGCAGACAGATTGGAGAGTCTCAAAACGGTTTCGTAGCTGGAGCTTGTCTTTACTCTGCATTTCCTCTTTTGCAGGTACGGAAGAACAGAGTGATGACGTCTCTGAACTCTTGCAGTTGGGCCTACTCTTTGGACCTGTCTTCTGGACATGCAGAGTTGGGTTTGGGTCACTCACAATATATACTCTCTCTCTATCTGATTTTCTTGATATTCTGTGTTTCTTATATAATAGCTGGTTAAAATCAGTATATTATTTGATGTAATTATTCAGATTTGGATCTGAATATCAGTTTTCTGTATCACACATTTTTTGAAGTTAAGTTGATTAAAATATGTGATCCACTTGTTATAATAAATACTATGATGACTTGTAAAGTAAGAATTTATAACGTACTTATACATTTTACAAAGTGTTTATAGTTGTAAGTGATGAATTTTATCTATATTCAAATATTACTAATGTCTTCTATTTTTTGTTTTTAACAGTTGAATACAATCGTAGTGGTATCGTTGTTGAACGTCCTTTTCCCAATCGCAGCGATTGCTGCCACGAGAAGTGCGTTTAAAGATGAGAAAACGCGTTCTCAATCGATGGGTTTCATATGTGCCGGTCTAAACATTGTAATGTATGGATCTCCTCTTTCTGCTATGGTAAGTTCATTCTTAATTTTCACTTGTATTGTATGTCCAAATTTTATATAATAACATATGGTGTATAACTGTTTTATAATACCCACGTTTTGAAAGAAAAATCTTTCCCTTTATATAACTAATTTATAAATTTATCTGTCGCTATCAAAAAAATGTTTTAACCGGAAAGAATTGTCAAATTCAGTGTTTTGTATTTAAACAATCGATCAGGCGTGTTTATTGACATTGTTCATATCCTTTTGGGCCCTTTTTCCTGAAATTGCGTAAATATTTTAGATTATTTTAATTAGTATTATTCCAAACAAAAGTTTAGCCGTCCATAATTAAAAACGACCCACCTGGTATAAAGACTAATATGTTGTATAAAGGCATAATGATTCCTTTTGGAGTTTGTAGTTTACTCATTTATCTTGTCTTTTAGTTAATGGTATTCGAATATCGTCTATAATAGAATCATTTTGTTGAAGAAAATAAGTTCAGTGGTTATTTTTGGTGGTACTAATTTGGTCATTTTAGTAACGGTTTTTATTTTTGGGGAAATGTAAACGTTATTTTTGATCATGCATGCAATCATCATAAACCAACCACACTATATGGCATTTTTTAGGCACACGTCTTTAAGAATTCGCACTCAGATATCAATTATATAACTTGTACGTCATTAGATTTTTCACGTTTATATTTGAATAAAAATCGTCATTGCCATCTCCTCTATGTACCCCACAGTTGTATTAATAATCCAACCATGACTTGGTGGGTCCATTATTAATACAAATCTTAGAAAAAGACATACCGTACTTATTATTTTCATTTTCACATTTCGGGCAAAAATGTAATTAGAATATATGTTTTTGAGCTTATATCATATAAATATCTGTTATAACCCCTATTGGTTAATAACTTATAACTTATAACATAGCTATAGACTAAGGGCATGTCCAATGGAGGGATGAGGGAGTCACTAATGGATTTTTTAATTAAAAAAAAAAATTTTAATCATGTTTTTAAGCAGGATTGATCCTAATTTAGTAGTTTTTAGAGATCCATTAAAGCCTCTGACGTGTCGCGTTGTGGTTGGTTTGATGATTTTATTTTTTTTGATTTTTTTTATTGAAACCCTCTGTTTCGATTAAAGGATTTGAAGCTGGCTTGGTTTTTATTTTTTTTTCTAACCCTTATTCTTCTTAGAAGACATCGGTAATTAATGTTTGTATTCATAAAATATGTGTATTAATATAATGTTTGTATTCATAAAAATGTTTGTATTTGAAAAAAAATAAAAATTAGAGCCTCCCTTTAAGAGACTACCATTAGACCATCCACAACACAGGTTCATCAAAGGGTTCATCGGTGGGTCCATCTCTTTTTTTGAGTTTTTTTTAAATCAAAAACTAAAATTTTGGTTGAACCCGTCTCTTTAGAATGAGTAGGATGAACCCGTCTCTTTGAGTTTCATTGGCAACGTGTCTCAATTTTATTAGTCCTTGCTAAATGTATTTGGTGGAAAAAATTGTTGGTTTTCACTCAAATTTGGTCGACAATTTTTTTTATCTTTGTGCGTCTCGTTATCGAAACTCATTCTCCGGTGAACAGATCGCACTCCTCCGGTGGCAATTCAACCTCACCTCCAGTCGCCTTCTTCCTCCGTCACAGCAAACAGCTCAATCTTCTTCATTTCCTCTGTTTTCAATACTTCCTTCTGAAATACCTTTAATTCTCTCACTAATTCTTGATTTGGATCTGGGTTTTTGATCAATTCCTCAATTGGGTCTGCGTATAATTCCCGTTGTGAGGTTGAGCTTCATAACAATGAAGCTAAACAAGATGCTCAGCACAAAGCTCACCACGAAAACCCTCAAAGTCAGCAGAGTTTCATCCAACAAAGATGAAGGAAGTGGAGGGATTTGGTATGCAAAATTTAAAAAAATATATATTTTGAGGTTCAGGGTTGGAGCAAAAAATTTGGAGAGGTTCTTCAAATTAAAACATTCAAAAAATTAATAAAATATGCAGATGAACCCCATCATGGGGTTCAGGGTTGTGGATGGTCTTAGTGTCAAAAAAAAAATTAGAACCTCCCTTTAAGAGACTACCATTGGACACTAATCTAATGAAAAAATTATAAAGAAGTTCTAATACATTAAAAAGAATAAAAAACTATTAAAATTAGGATTAGAACCCCTTCTTTGTATACTATGGATGGAGGTGGTCTAATAGTATTGCTTTTATGCAGAAAACAGTAGTGACGACAAAGAGCGTGAAATACATGCCATTTTGGTTGTCGTTTTTCCTCTTCTTAAACGGCGCGATTTGGGGCGTTTACGCTTCACTCCAACATGACATTTTTCTACTCGTAAGTAACGTTTTACTGTGGTTCACTTATTGGTCATTTTATGGTTCTACTTCAACACATATAGAAGACAAAACAGGGATACTTGAAAATTGATATATAGTTACACTGTTAAAGCTATTTCATCGACCCCACGTCTCTTCGATATTCTAACACTAACACCAACATATTTTGTCGTTTTTTGACGCCGTAATCAACTCCGTTCATGTCATTGTCAATGCCACATTTAAATAAAAAAATATATATCTGAGAAAAAATCACGATTTATGCATAATGACTTGAAAAATTTGTGGACTCCAAGTCTCCAACATCAAACCAATGATCTTTTTTTTTTTCCAGAAATATATGTTTTTATTAATTAATAGTGTTGGAGTTTAAATAATCCGATTGTAACATACATGAAAGCCAAGTAGGAGGATTTACAACAGCTGAGTGAAAATCAGAATCCAAAGGAAAGGACTTTGCTAAATGATGTGCTGGATAATTGCCTTGGCGAGCTACATGTGTGTATCGAACATGATGAAATTTGGCACTCCAACTTAAGATGTCGTTGCAAAGATTGTGTATGGAGAAATCTTTTGCAGAGCCATTTAGATTGTGAATGAGATTCAAACAATCACCTTCAAAAATAACAGAGCGAAAGCCCATCATGAAGGAATTTTGCATAGCAGTGAGTAATGCTTTTCCTTCAGCCTCCAATGCCGAAATCGAGTCACCCAAGTTAATAGATCCCCAGAAAATATGTTTCCCTTTATTATCTCTGACAACCCATCCTCCAGAAGATGCATGTGAGGAGGGATTATAAGCAGCATCGAAATTGCATTTATAGAAACTTACTGGTGGAAGCTTCCAAGAGCTATTTTGAGCAGAATCAACAGATGTTAAATTCATAGAGGAAGAATTTGTAGAGGAAGATGACCCTTTTACTTGATTGGCCTTCAACTATTCATTCACCTCTGCCATAGTTAAAGATACATCCACAGCTGGATTCGGAATCTTCTTCCTGAAAATGAGATTATTTCTGGATTTCCATAGCCTCCACATCAACCAAAATGGATGAAGTTTTTGTTCATCAGTTAATCCCCTTGCAGACTGAAAGTCCAACAATGTTTTGATGTTATCCTCCAGATCTTGAGATGGTTGAAGTAAACACGATATAGGACTTTTAGACAGTCTCCAAGCTATATTTGATACTGGACATTCGAAGAAAAGATGATTGATAGATTCATCTTGCAAACCACAGCGTTGACAAGTAGGATTAACAAGAATGCCTCGACTAATCAGCCGTTGTGAAGTACCCAAAGCTTGCGATAGTACACGCCATAAGAAATGCTTTAACTTTGGGAAGATTGGAAGTTTCCAAATCTTCTGTTTGAGTAAAGGATCACCATGAGGAGGTTGAATCACATTGTTGTCAGGATCTTCCAGTTTCCTTGCCAAATAGTATCCTGTTTTCACCGAATATTGACCGTCTTTGGTATAATGCCAAATGATTTGGTCCTTTTCCATAGCCTGAGCTAAAAACATGGATTTAATTTGTGATCTATATTCTGGCTGTAGTAGTTGAAGATGATCTTCATCCCATTTCCTATAACCCCTTCTTGAGACAATAAGATCAGACACAGCCAGGATTTGCTGATAAGCCACTTGCAGGCTTAGGAGGATCTGTTGGAATCCAATTGTCTTGGAAAACTCTGATATCTTCACCGGAACCAACGTTAAACCGTATGCCTTTCTTCAAAAGCTCTAAACCCACTAGAATAGAAGACCAGCCATAGGATTGGTAATTTTGAGATCGTGCATCCAAGACTGAAGAATCTCGATAATATTTAGCTTTAAACAATCTTGCAAAAAGGGTTTCAGGATGGTTTAAGAGTCGCCACGCCTGTTTCGCTAACAGTGCATCATTGAATTTCTCTAAATCCTTAAAACCCAAACCACCTTGTTGTTTAGATTTCTGCAATCTCTTCCACGCAACCCATGAAATGCCTCGTCTATTTTGATCTTTCTCCCACTAGAATCTCTTGAACAATTCCAGCAGGGATCTTAAAACATGACATCGAATGGACAGGTATAGCCACAGCTACCGATTTCAATAACACTTCTTTACCAGCAGGAGACAGAAGTCTAGAGCTCCAAGAAGAGGTTCGTTTCTTGACTGCCTCAACAATATACTTAAACATTTCTGACTTTTTTCTGCCAAACTGTTCAGGCAATCCCAAATATTTTCCGCCACCACCTTGATTTGGAATTCCTAATATCAATTTTACCCGGCTTTGTAGATCACCCGGTATCCTAGATCCAAAAGTAATCACAGATTTGGAGATATTAATCATCTGTCTGGAGCATTGTTCATAAACCTGAACGATGTCTCTTAAAGCCCGAGCATTTTGATTGTTTGCTTGGCAGAAGAACAATGAGTCGTCAACAAACAGAAGATGTGTGATCGGAGGGACTCCATTTCCGATTTTTATACCGCGGATTCTGCCTTGTGACACATTTCTTTTGATCAAATGACTAAGCATCCGCACAAAGGATAAACAGATAAGGGGATAGGGGATCCCCTTGTCTTAATCCTCGTTCAGGTCGAATCAAACCCTTCGGATTACCATTGATCAGTATAGAAAAACTAACTGATCTGACTGTTGCCATAACCCATTGAATCCAAGTATCATTGAAACCGAAAGCTTGCATCATTTTCTCGAGAAAGTTCCATTCAACGCGATCGTAAGCTTTACTGATGTCAGTCTTCACAGCCATATAAGTCTTGGATACACGTTTCCTGACTTTAAGAGAGTGCATGAGTTCATTAGCCACCAAAATATTATCCGTTACCATTCGGCCAGGAATAAATGCAGCTTGCTCTTCAGACACTATCTGGTGTAAGAAACCTTTCAGTCGCATTACCAATAGTTTTGAAATGATCTTGTAAATGACATTACACAAGCCAATTGGACGATAATCTGATAATGTTAAGGGCTTTGCTATCTTTGGGAACATACAAATATTTGTATGATTCACGCCATGTTTCATAATACCCGTAGCAAAGAATCTGCGGATTTCTGAGGTAATCTCCAAACCCACAATATCCCAACATTCTTGGTAGAATCGAGCCGTAAAGCCATCAGGACCAGGGCATTTGTCTGCGCCAATCGAGCAAATAGCAGCATATATCTCCTGATCTGTAAACTCTTGAGTAAGAGCTGCATTCATTTCTGTAGTTACGGTGCTCTGGAAGTCTTGGAAAATTGCATCACACGAAGCATTATGATTTGAGGAATATATGGATTTAAAAAAATCTTCCGCATGAGTTCCAATCTCTTGATCCCCTCTATACCAATGCCCAGACGAATCTTGAATGGAGTGAATGTGATTCCTTGCATATCTGGCCTTTGTGCAGGCGTGAAAAAACTTGGTATTACGATCACCAACCGATAACCATGTATTTCTGCTTTTTTGTTTCCAATACAACTCTTCATCACGGTATGCAGCGGCTAATTGTTTTTGTAGGATCGGTATAACCGAGCGATGAGAGCCTGAGCTTTGTAAGGCGCTTTCAAGATCCTGCTTCAGACATTCTATTCTTGTTGAGGAGTTAAGAGAAGAATTCCTCAGACACAAAGACAAGGATTTTCTGCATTCTCGGATACGATCTATTATAGAGGATCTCGGAGACAGCTTAGATGAATACCAACCATTAATGACATATTGCTTGAAGTCTTTATTTTGGATCATTCGCTTGTCAAAATGGAAGCGTCTATGGTTTGTAGTAGAAGCAATGGCAATTCGTGTAAGAACAGGTCGATGATCCGAACCATAAAGAGCAAGAAATTCTGCTTCGGAAGCTGGGAAGTTTGCAAGCCATTCTGAATTGACTATCACTCTGTCCAAGCATTCCTTAATCGTGTGAGTATAACGATTTCCAACCCATGAGAATTTATCTCCCTTGTATCGAAGATCTGATAAATCACAAGTGTTGTACATGTTCCAGAAGTTTTGAAAGCTCCATTCCTCTCTTATGGCACCGCCAACTTTTTCATCATTACTCAGGATCTCATTAAAGTCTCCAATGAGTAACCAAGGACCATCTCGTGTGACACCAATACGTTCAATTCTTTCCCAAAGTTCGTGTCTTTTCTTTTGTACTGGGTGACCGTATACACATGATAAGTAGAACTCCAATCCATTAAAACTGACAAAGAGGTCAACCAACCTTACATCTTCATAAATACTCCTAACTGATACATCTTGCTTCCATAAAACAGCTAAACCTCCACTTCTACCAAGAGGAGGGACACACAACACATGCTGATAACCTAAAGACACTGCAACATCACGAACTACATCTGACACATTCATAGTTTCAACAAGAAAGAAGATATCTGGACTGACTTTCCTACACAACTCCTTTAACCTAGATTCAGACAAAGACCCACACAACCCTTGAATATTCCAGGAGCATATCTTCATGATGGGAACAATGGGGGTACCGGGCCCCCCGCGCCTCTGTCTATTCGTTGAGTTGCAGTGCTTGAAATCTGAGGATCTTCACTACAGTCTCTTCTCTTGATCCGGCACACGTCCACCTGATCAAGCATGGATGGATGATGAGTCTCCTCCTGGAAGCCTTGTCGTTTTCGTTTGTTTCCAAATGTCAGGATCAAATCCCATTCCAAACATTTCCAAATGTTCATCCTCTCTAACTTTGCCTCTAGCCATACGCAAAGCACGTAAACGCAAATCCTCTGCAGATGTAGCATTAGAGATATTATTGATGAGATGATCAATACCAATACTTGGTTCAGAAAGCTGAACAGTTGGATCCTCATTTGGTAAAGCAGAAATCGGATTGGATCCAGCTTGAACTTCAGGGGAAGCCTCTGTCTAATCTGGGTCATCACCTTCGTCATTATCTTCATCTCCATCTGAGTCAGAGAAATCACCATCTTCAACTTGGAGTGGACAGTCCTTCTTTTCGTGGGTAAGAAGGCCACATCGTTTGCAAAAATTCCGAAGCCTTTCATATTTGAAGCGAAGGATAGTGTTGATTCCTTCCTCAAACTGAAAGTTCCTCTGGAACCGAAGAGGATTGTCCGAATTCCATAGCACCCGAACTCTAACGAAGTCCACCCGTGTAGAATTCTCATCGAAATCGACTCCAATAACTGGTCCGTATAGATCACCAATAAAAGTAATCATTTGACGGGACAGATACTGGATCGGAATCCCACGAATCTGCATCCAAAAAGGAAGTGACTTCCGCGTCGTTTCGTCCAGATTCGGAGTCCACCGATGAACCGTTACCATCCACTCCGCAAAAGACCACGGAGAGCGTTGTAGCACGAGATTCATTGTTTCTTCGGATTGAAAGAGGAATTGCAGTTGATTATGGCCAATAATACGGCCCGAAGTCGCATGTTCCAGACCCCAAAGACGAGGGAATTGAGAGATCATGGCCCGTAGATTTTGCTTCTTCGGGTTGAGAGGCACAACGACCAAAGAGAATTGATTCGTTGCAGATGCTTGATTAAGTAACGCCGGAGGGAGAACCACCGGTGCATCAGAGATACCGAGATTGATATTCTGCATTCTTTGTCGAAGATTATCACCCATTTGGTAATCGGATTGAGAGTGAGAAAGATGTCGAAGGGAAGCAGACAATATATAGAAGTTGGGCCATGGCGGTTTCCTAATTATGAACTTCCAAAAAGTCTTTTGGAGAAAGAAACCGCAAGAGATCGTGTATAACAGATCGGGGAATCCGGAATACGTGCACTGCGGAAAGAAACCGGCACAATGAAGTCCTGATTTTGTGGAAATCGTGGCCGGAATGAAACTCTCAGAGAGAGGAATATGACCGTTATTGAAAATCGTCGTTTGAGTCGCCTTTTTGACATGTTTTTCCAGAGGTTTTCTTCTTTCACTGAGAATCTGTTGGATAACTTCGCGCCATCAAACCAATGATTTTTTGGCGATTTTTCAGACAATAGTCTTTTTTAAGAAGTGTCTTGGTCTAATATGCAACAACCACTATTTTGTGGGGTCATTTAATTTTGTAAATGCGTCTTCTTGAGATTTCGGATAGGCGTTGAACTTAGTAATATGCTATTCAGAATAATTTATTTACGATCAATTAATTAAATTCAAATAATTTTGTGGTTAAACTGATTAGGTGCCAAATGGAGTGGGGTTCGTGTTCGGGACAATGCAACTCATACTTTATGGAATTTATAGAAATGCCAAACCGGTCGGTTTAAGCAATGGCTCAAGTGTGATTGCTGCAGATGAAGAGGAAGGCCTCGCGTCACATGTCCCTCTCCTCTCGTAAACCCAATTTTTCTCTGTTTTATGAAAATTATATTACAACACAAACCTCCTTTAGATTATTTCTTTTTAATTTCTTGGAGAGTGTTTTGTGTGGAATTTGGTCTTATATAGATAAATATTTATACTTGGTGTGCGATTTTGTGTATTTTACTTTCTGAACCAGATTAGGATTTTTTTCTTTTGGGTCAAAGAACCAGATTAGATTAAGTTGAGGATATCACATGTCTTTTTTGTATGTGTTTTTTTTGTTGTTGTGCTATTTTTTTTTTTGCAATGAAGCATTTTATTTATTAAGTGTAAATTAGAGAACTGTAAGCCAAAACAAATACAGCTCATTTAGTTTTGAAGCGTAACTTTTACCTAAACCTTATGCAAAGCCCATCATTCAAATGTATAACCTTATATAGTCTCAAGGCTATCACAATGGATGAGAGAATGAGGTTTTGAAGGAAAATTGATGAGCCTAAAATGCAGGGAAACACTCTTGCTCCTTCTCTTCGATCTAACTTTGTTAATATTGAAACAAGTTCATGAAATAATCATACCATCGAAAACTTTAGGTTCGTTTAATAGCACGTGGACAACCTCTAAATCAACAACTCAATCTCCACATAAAGAGGACTAATTAGGAAGAAGCTATCAAATATAGTGAATTACGATCGTCCCTTCTTTTTTTTTTTTTTCCAAGAATCAAATCCTCCCTTCTTTATAGGAATCGATTCCCACTTTTCATATTTCCATGTCTTTTTTATGAACCATAGATTGCAATCTCCTAGTTAAAGACTTAAAACAAAATAAAATATAAGCAGAGATAATTTCTACAAATTAAATAGCTACTAATTCATTAAAAATGAAGATCATTGCATTGGTGCTCATTGTCATCATCATACCCGTCACCGGCAGGCGTCGTGGCGGTGGGGGTGGCGGTAGCCGTGGCGGTGGCGGCTATATGGCTGGTGGAATTGGCACGGGCTATGTAATGGGTAAAGTAATACCCGACAAGCCTGAGCCTAAGGAGGAGCTGCCAAAGATGGAGGAGATACCAAAAGAATGCAAAGTGGAGGTTAGAGATTGCATCACTAGGCATATATACAAAGGCGAGGGGGAGCCTAAAAACGGAGGGCCATGTTGTGAGAAATTTAAAAACACAATACACTGTATGTGCAAATTCCTTACGAACAAGGATCCTTTGGTAAGAAAAGCTGCTAATGGTGTACTTAGAGGTTGTCGTTATCAACAACCCACTTGTACAAATACGCCAATGCCACCAGCATGTTGGGAAGAGCTTAGATCACCTTGTATCAATACAGGAACTGCCTTTTATCCTAAATACGGAGAAGCATGTTGTAAGAAACTTAAAAAATCGACATCATGTATCTCTAAATCCCTTAAGTCTCCGGATCCTAAGCTACGTGAAGCTGCTAATGGTGTACTTTGGGGTTTTCAAGTTCGTAAACCTTAATAATTGTCCAGAAACCTAGAGATTATACATGTGATTAAAGTTAACGACGGAACAAACCTATTTTGAAATAATGTACAAATGATTTGTTTTTAGATGGTTAGATCAAGGGATCAGTGTTGTAATTGATTTTTGTATTTATATGTGTGATCAGTGTCAGTATGTAATCCTATCTCTCTTTCAGAATAAAAGTATCCACTAGCTACTAATACAAAAAGCAATCCAATAAAAAGATGGCAATTATAGACAAATCAAGTGCAGTTAGTTCGATCTATAAATCTTAATTAGTCTTATTCAGTTTCATTGTGGATTAATTACGTTGATATGTTTCTTGTTTTTGTTAAAGATGTTGATATGTTTCAAAAGCGACAATACTACATTCGAAACATTTGTAGCCTTTATTTTATATATAGCTAAAAACAAGTGATCCGACCAATATCAAATGTAGCACATTTCTTTCGTTCATCTTTTATGACTTTTGGTTTGAACCTCTAACTTCCCGGGAAACTCTATCCCCATATATTCCCAAAAAAAATCTCACTTTAATTAACCTTCTTTCTAAATTCACCAAAACATATTATAAGATACTCGGTATCGTAGGTTCCGATAAAAATAGACCCTTATACAATTAGATATACGAATTCTATCTATATACATATATATATTTTTAACTGATTTATAAACTTTTATTTTTAACTTTAATCTCAAACATTGTTACAAAAAAACTTTAATCTCAAACAGATATATAAGGCCAAACATAACAAACGGAATCATAATAATCGCCTACGACAGCCTACCGTGGAATCAACCAATCAAAAGTCAACATCGTTATCAGAAAGACTTGGCTTTGTTTTTCAGAAGCATCTCCCTGAGCTCCGCTGGATCAATCTCATCCGTCCGATTAGAAGGTCTATAGTATCCCGTGACTGGATCTGAGCTTCTTGATTTGCTCTTTGTTCGAGCTTCCCCACCGTAACTCTGGTAGAACCTGCTTTGAGAAATACAAATTTAATTATTCTACATAATTACTATTATATAAATGAAGGATGTATTTATACAAATGATAATTATAATTATATTTAGTCCAATATACATGAGCTCATGTTTGCGCTTCATAAATTTCAAATCCTAAATACAATATTATTTACATTAATGTGTCAATATACGTGATCCCATAATCTCAGTTCATTTAATTTAAAAATTTAATTACCATAATAATCAAGAAATCATAACTCCATTTTAAACTTTCCTCCGAATTTCTTGACACAATTAAATGATTAAGCATAAATAGAATCAATGTATACATATTTCAAATTTATCAGTTAATGATTATATTACCTTCCTATATTATCGTAACCATATCAATATGAAATTATATAACCAAATTACAAATCATTGTTTGGATAGTCTAAACAATCCCTATATCTCTATATTATTATTTGAGTAGACATTTCATAAATGAACCTTTATTTGTAAGATATTACAGAATATTTTACATAAATAAATATTTATTTATAAGATATTACATAAATAAACCTTTACTTAGAAGATATTACTTAAACAAACTTTACAAATATAGAAAGCTCAATTAAATATATGGATATAAATCAAAAGTATATTTAATTTCTTTACTTATTAAAATATTAAAATATATTCTATTATTTTAAATAATAATCAATCCATATATATGAAAAAATCAATTTAAACTTTTGCAATATTTTTTCATTTGTATTTTCATTATTATTTAGTATCCTTTTCGAAAATCAGTTCAAATTATTTATATAAAAAATGAAATTATGTTTTCAAAATTTAAATTATTTTTTTTAACGAGTTGGCCAAAAAATAGTTTAGTAAATTGTGAAATATATTAAGTAGACGGGTTTTTCCATTTTGACAATCCTATATATAATTATTGTTAACACATATTATATAAGTTATTAACTAAAATGATAGTTTGATCTATAATAAAATATTCACAATTAAATTTTTATTTTATGAATATATATATATATATATATTAGATTTTAATCCATGTTGGTATGTATATAAGTATATATATATTAATATTATATCACTTTCATATTTAAAAAAGCTACTAATAATTAAACCGTATAATAATATATATACAAGTAAATATCAGTTGTGTGATATTTATATAGGTATTGTTATCTAATTGTCACCAATTTTATTTATTTATATTTTTTGGTAAAGAACTTTTATCACCAATTTAATTTTAAAAAAAAAAATTTAAAGATAATTAAAAAAAACATTACCCGGCATAATATGCGGGTTAATTCCTAGTTTTCAATATATTTTAGATGCACTTTACCTACTTAAATAAAAATATTTTGTTTTCCGTATATGTAGGAGTAATTAAACAAAATAGACCCTTTATGGAAAACGAACAATATTGCAAATTAAATATATCAAATTTGCCTAAATCTATCATATTTCAAAGTCATTTCAAATTCAAATTCATAATTTACCGCCTACAATATTTTAAGATTGCATCGAAGATTTACCCTAGACTCACCACATTCGTTATTTCGCTATATATAGTTACCACTGTAGATATCGACATCCACCAGCTAAGCAATATTTAGCTTACATACTCCCTCTTGCAAAGTTTGCGATGTCGACCTTCACATCCCTCACTGCCCTAAAGCCATTCAAAACCCAATGGAGGATCCGTGTCAAGTACTGAAGTTGTGAAAACAGTATTTGAATGGGATCGAGACGATGGAGATGGTCGTTGTCGATGAACTGGTATTGTTTTGTACTTTGTTTGTTCGTTAGTCATACTGATCCATTTTGATCATATATATATATATATATATTTTAACGTTTTGCTTATTATTATATTGCCATGCAGAATCAAACTATGCATGTTAGTATGAAGAAGCAGTTCATCAAAAAATTTGAAAATATTCTAGAGGAAAGAACTACTAAGATCATCACTAATTTTCAAGTCACTCACAACGGTGATAAGTTCAGGACTACCTCTCATGTTTACAAGATCCAGTATGCTGCCACGACGTCTGTCAGACCTTCTGAAGATCTGGATGCCACAATTCTTGGGTTGAAGTTTGTGAACTTCACTGATATTCATGATGGCAAGTTGAATCCTGATTTTCTAATAGGTAAATGGTATATTTATATCTCGCATACATTATTAATATGAACCAAAGCATATTACATCTAATTATTGGTTTGTGTTTTTATTTTACAGATATTGTTGGACAAATTGTTAGTATTGGCGAGGTTGAGATTCTCAACGTTAACAAAAAACAGACCAAACGTCTAACAATGACACTTCGTGACACTAGGTTTTTTAATTCCCTTTGACACCTAAATATTGTTAATAAAACGTCTAATATATTTTGTCTTTTAGTGATGTACGCCTGAATTGTGTTCTCTGAGGGAATTATGCCGAAAGTTTGGAGAGTGTTGCTACACATGCAACCAATGCTACCATTTGTTTCGTGTTAAGATTTAGAAAGTTAAGATTGTATCAAGGTACGAAACAAATGTTTTTTGTTAACAAACAAAATATCGTTTTTAAAAAATATATATAACTTTCAAGACATTTCATTATTTAGGTGTATGGAGCATTGGCAATTGTTACAGTTCTTCCATTGTGATGACAGATCCTGATCTCCCTGAAATAAATTCTTTTAGAAACCGGTATATTTATATCTATAACTTTTATCAATTTTCATTTAGTTTACTTTCATGTCACTAAAATCCAAGATTTTTTCTTTCTTTTACAGCTTACCAAAAGATGATGTGACTTTGTCATACACACACCCTAACCAATTGACCATTGTCAATTCTGTTTCTGTAAGAGATGATTTCTTCTTACATACCCCTCGCCGGACAATAAGTGAAATACTTGGTGCATCTGAGGTATTTATTTTGCGTGGTACACATATTTCTTAAACAACATATGGTGATTGGGATTTTAAAAGAAAGTAATGCTTCAATTAGTAGGTTGAAAAATGTGTGACTATGGCTACCATCATGTCTATTGACACTGAGTTTGGATGGTACTATATGTCATGCAAAGTGTGCTCTAAAAAGGTGCTTCCTCTTGATATGGATTTGTTGAAGGAGCAATATCCTGGTAGGCCATTTCCTAAACAGTTATGGAAATGTGGCAAATGTAAGGATGATGTTGAAAGTGTCGTACCAGCGTAAGTCTTGGATGCAATTTTTAGAGCAAAAAGAATATTTGTAATTTTTATTTATAATATTAATATTCATATATTGTTCTATGCTAACATAGGTTTATGCTGACTTTCCGTGTTATGGACAACACTTGTGAAACAAAGTTCTTAATCTTTGATAAGCTTGCCATGGAAGTTGTAAATCAAACAGCTGCACAATTGACTGAATCTGTGGAAGAGGTAGTTATGCAGTTTACTACCAACTCTATTATAATCAATCTTACTATATATATTAGAAAACTTATATGTTTGCTAAACTGCTTGCAGATCCAAGATCCATATGTAGTACCTCTTCCAATTAGTAACATTTGTGGGAAAACTTATCTGTTCAAGCTATCTATTGAGAGTTCAAACCTCGTTTTCAACAGTGATGTTTACAAAATTACAAAGATTGTGACCCAAAGTGACATGGTCAAAGAATTCTCAGAAATATCCGGATTTTTGGTTTGATCCCTAAACTATTTATTCGTATTAATATTTATTCATATTTCATTGCCTTTTGCTCATTGTTAACTTATTATTTTATTTATAGACTACCCCTGATGTCAAGTCTGAAGAAATGGGGTTTATAACTCTCGATGAACAGGTATGCTATTTAGGAATTAGATGCCTCTCATTAAGATTATATGACTGTACATAAACGTATTTGTTCACATTTGTCATTTTAGGTTCCTAAGATGTTACTTGACAGTGACGACGATGATAATTCACCACAGTCAAAAAGGAAAAGCGATGAGATGATTGACTTTGATGATCATAATGGAGAGTAGTCTACTTCTAAAAAAGCTTTAAATGGGGACATGAAGACTGGATCGAGTGAAGAAAAGATTTCTCTGAAGCCTGTTAAGAAGGAGAAAGTTGATGACTGAAGTCTTCGTTTCTTTAACAATATGCATTCTCCTGCTTGCTTTGTTTCTTAGGATTTACTACAATATCTCATTGTTTAAGTTTCGGTTATTTTTTTCCTTGCCCGTAGGATTTGTCTTTTTATGTTTACAGATTTTCTGTGGTTTGTTATTTAAAGTTTAATAAAAGCAAGAATTTTAAACTATATTATGTTTTGCTATTTAATTAGTAACTGTGGAATTTTAATTTATTAGTATAAATAACAAAGTAAATACCTGCATGTACGGATGGTTTCGCCAAACTCAAGCCTAGTCTGAAAAGAAATTCTGCATGGCAATTAAACATTTACAACATTCATGCAAAATATTTGGAGTCATTATTACTTTGGCAATACATATATTTTTTTAGCACTTACAATTACAGTTATATCCTAAAACAACTCTGTATTTAAATATAAAATTAGAAATATATGTACATTTTACAAAATTAGAAAAACGATCATAACTACTATATTCTGTCGTATATAGATGCTAATTGGTGAATATTAACACAACCAATCATAATTAAAAGAACTTAAAACTAATTCCTAAAGTTTCCATGTTTAGATAAATTCTCAATTTATTTGTAATCTTAACAAATTTTTAGAATATTGTAACTATCCTATTAAGATGCCTACTACTTTTCAATTCTTAATATTAAATATATCCTACGCATATATCGATTCTCTACATTCTCACAAATCTGTAGAAAAATGAAAAAGAACAAAAAATCGTCTTCTGCAATGGATAAAGATCATGACATCTTAACCAAAAGACCTAAATTGGATTTCATCAACCCATGTATAAAAGTTATGGTTCATTCGCTAATAAACTCAAATTTATACTCGGGTTTGTATATTCTTAAGAAAGTACAATAAATTACTTAAGAATCCGATTTATAAATGGTCTATCTAAAAGTTCCACATATATTTTTATATTATTTACATAACACAATGGACATATTCAAGTTATCCCTGCACGAGTACCATTACCAGTACCTATCTCAAATCCTGATGATTTCGAAAATACCTTTGGAGATATCATTAATATTCAGAACCCCCCTGACAACTTCAAGTACTCGGAAAAGGAATCAATGTAGTTTGAGTACGTATTATATTTATTTCCTATGGACCAAGATGAAACATCATTGAACAACTTATATTGCTCAACTATTTATGATTCTTTGGTAATTAGATAATAAACATGTAGTGAAACCTCTAAGTTTTTATTATATACAGATGCCAATGGACAGAATGAAGTTACCCCTAAACGAAAAGCATTGCCAGTTCCAATTTCAATTCCTGGTGTTTTCCGAAATATATTAGGAGATATCAGTAATACCCGAACTGGCCCTAGTGCTTCAAGTTATCCTAAAAGGAACCAACTTAGTCCAAGTACGTAGTTTATTTATTTTCATTGTAATCGATTTATTCATTGACAACTGTATTATCTTTAAATTTTGTTATTCTCCTGTAACATCAGTAACATGAAAAGAAAATTACACAGGTACACAAACAAGTATTTTTTAACCCTTCTTCTTTATGTTTGTGTTGTCCTGAATGAAACCTCTTTTATAACTAAAGTAATTTCTTTATAATATCTAGCAAGTCCAGTCACTCCATGTTATGGTTCAAATCAATTTCTGTCAACTATACCAACAGCAAATATTTGTGATAGTTGATATTCTACATCAGGATACTTAAATATCACATATAACCAAAATCCTGATAAGACCAGAAGAAAAAAAACTCAATCAAGTAAGCTTACTTTTATATATTTAGTTTAATATTTTGTTTATTATTTTAGAAAATGTTAAATAATTATGACTACTTTGTTTCATATTCATTTTTAGGAAAATTAGATCAACCCATTGTTGGAAATCATGTTTTACCCGATAGAAACATAACAGATGTCACAAGAAATCTCAAATTCAACGATGGACCTTCAAGTTCAAGAAATGAAAATTTTAGAATTGAGTCATCCATCTAAAAGTTCTAGAAGTGCACGTACGTTTAATTTCTTTCAATTTAATCTCTATTATACCATTTACATTTTATATAATGAGTTTTTCATTTCTTGATTTACATCAACTAGCAAAACTAAGAGATGATCCATCAAGATACAACACATGTGAAAAGATAGAGTCTGCCCGTATCCTTAATAACGTAGTTGTTATATCCTGATTGTTTATATACTTGCTTAATTAAAGAGATTGCTTAATCACAATTGTGTCCTTCATATTATCAATTAATAGTTGTTTCGTTTTGGAACTCTGCTATGGAGAAAGCAATGCAACCATGTAATATATCACCCAAAACTACTTCGCAATCAGGTATCATGTATTAAATATGTTCAAATCTTTGTGTATAATTATGATGTATATGACATAGAAATGATCTTTTATCTTATCTAACATTTTGATAAGTTGGTTTATGAAAAATGGGGTAATTGCACATATGACCTAAAAATTGAAGTCAAATGCAAATCTAACCTCTTTTTTCTCCCTCTTCAATATTAGCCAATTTCTCTCCACTTTCTCCCTAAAGCCACATATAATAACATAAATGTCATTATATTTATAATTATCGATTTTTTTAGGTAATTCGAAAAAGACATAACCATCCTAAGATCTATCAAGTATTCACGAAAATGCCATCATCTTCAATTTCGCCAACTACCATTACCAACCAAAATTGAAGCTCTTAATGCTTGCCCAGCTGCACTTGAAGCTCTAAATGCTTATTTGGCCGCTCAAACTTCATTCTATCTTCAAATTTCTCTCTAGTTTCATCTAAAAATCTTTTTCTTGGTCGACATTGATATGTATGAATTCGTAAATCATATATCTTGTGAGATTCTTGGATAACCGAGTTCTGGGCTGGTTTCCTTTCCGTGCATCTCAAAAATTCTGAACTTCTGTCAAAGTTAATTGAGTTCAAATTGGAGGTAAACATCTAAATCTTTCTTTAACATTGGGCTATGTTTCGTGAAAGTAGACTTCTTTTTTACAGTCTGCTAGTCAACGTAAAAGGTTAGATTTGCAATTGACCTTTTGATATTTTTTTGAAAGTAGACTTCTTTGTAAGTCTGTGAATTTTCATTTGACGACGAGAGGAAAAAAAAAATAAAAACCCAACCTTACATTCAAGGGAACATTCAACGAATCAATAACTTTCTTTCTACATAACAGAATGAAATCGTTCCGACAGTCTAGAAAAAATTGGTTAGAAATGTCGTGGCAACAATGGGCCGAGTGTAAGCTCAGCTTGGGCTTTAGGTATACAAGGATTCTTTAAGATTATGCTGGGCTAATATATTTGAACTAAATATGAGGATGCATCAAGAAATACATAATGGGCCAAGTGTAAGCTCTCCTTGGGCTTTTCAGAAAGCATCATTTTTCAAACGAGAAATCTGGCCATGTCTTTGGTTCCGACAGCATGAAAGTTAAACTCCATAGAATCTGTCACAAAAAATGAACAAAAATATTCTTTTTTTTTTCGCGGAAGACATCATCGCTTTGTGCTCGGTGAAGAAGAATCCTCCTCGAGGGGAATTTTTACTTCTCTCCCTGGCAGAATCGCCTCTCGAAGACGTTCTTCAAGTTCATCTCGAGACAAGAATTTTCTCTTTAGGGTTAACGCCGCATCAGTCAGGAATTACGATTTTTGTAACATCCCTATCCCAGGCTTCCTAGAGAGGGAGTGAAATAGGGCATGTTAGGTCGGCTATCTAACCGCATTCGATCAGACGCCTGGTTTAGTCCAGATGGTGAGCCTCAGGTCTGTCAGGATAAAAAACGCCCAGGTAGCAATCAACAATATAGACATAGCTGATCTACCTGGAAATAAATGCAAGGAAGGAAGAGAGGTGAGTAATTTAAAGAGATCCACAACACCATCTAACAAACATGAACACAGTAGATAGACTAATCTAAGTCAAGCTAGCAAACAAAGGTAACCCTACAATCAACTACCAAGTAACAAGGAAACCTTAACCCATTGAGGGAAGCATCACCGTCTTATCAACAATGTCACTCCACCCACCCAATCACCATAGAAAGGGGTCACCCATTCACCACAGAAAGGGATCTCAACAAGCAAGGTCATCCAGTCGTCCCAATCACCACAGAAAGGAACACCCCCAATCACACAGAAAGGGTCACAAGGCGGCCACACAGACAGGCCTCCAGCCATATAGGCTCCGGAAGGATCGGCGTACCTTCCCCCACCGTTGAGCTAACTCACACCCACTTAGCCCAGCAAGCAACACCGCCCCAATCACCACAGAAAGGGGTCGGGGACCTAGCAGTTCTATATCACACAACCTAGTCTATCACAAGCAAGATAGATCCAAATCAAGCACAATCAATTCATGTTTTTAGGGTTCTCTAGTCTTAGTTCTAAGTTCAGGGTTAGTCATTAAGGTTCCACCAACAACCATCAATCATCAACAAGCAATCAACAAGGATCCAGGTCCTAGCAATCTAAACCCTAGCACACAGATCTAGTACTTAACCTAAGAAAAGGCTAACTACTATGGACAAGAGTGAAAGAGAGGGTGAAGCACAAGGTCCTCACCTTGGCACACAAGGGCGCGGAATGGAAGGAGGAGATGGCATAGGAGAAGGAGGACGAAGTGGAGATCCTTCAGAATCATATCCCACTTCGAATTCAGGAGAGGAAGGCGGCGAAGACATCTCTGGAGGAAGGAAGGTTCGACTGAAAGGAGAGAGAGAAGAGATTAGAGCAGAGATGAGAAAGAGGAAGAGAGAGAGAATGGATCTGGACACCCGACACGCTGTTCTTGATAAGTCTTGTCTCCGACTACGGATCAGGGCGAGGTTGGTCTTATCGGAAAGCTTACCTCAGGGGCTTCAAATTGATATATTATACGTCACGTGGATCTTCCCGGCTCGCCGGGAAATTGTCTCAGAAGTTGACAGCGGCTTATGAGAAAAAGTGACGAAAAAGAGAGAAAGAGGAGAGACTAGGGTTTTAGAAAGGCTAATGAGAGATCAAAGTATTTATATTTAGGTTAAAGATATTTGACTTAATCAATGTCCTAAGGACATGTTCGTTTGCTCATCTGACTAGATCATCTAGATAAAGCAGTTAAATGATGTTCGTGTAATTACATTAATCAGTTCATTTTAATGAATCATTTAGATGGATCATCTGGATGACGTATAAATTTATGAAGAAACTTTAAACTCATCCAACTGATTCAATTTGAATCGTCTGGATGAACATAATTCAGTCCAAAAAATTAAATGATAAAAATATACTTAACAAAAATTAATATATAATACAAACAAATAATAAATATTAATAACATTTGTTGTTTATTTGAAATTTTGTTCCCATTAAACATATATATATAAAAAAATTCCCCAAAATTTAGAAATTCATATTTCCCATCAAAAATGATAAAATCACATTTTTGCAAAAACTTAAAATTTAATTTCTCCGCTAGATTTCCACCAAAAACTTAAAATTATATTTTTTTTGTAATAACATAAATCTCATTTTCCCTCCAAAAATGTAAATTTTGTTATTCCACCAAAACGTAAAATCTCGTTTTCCGTTAAAAAACGTAAAGTCTTGTTTTCACGTCAAAAAATATAAAATTTCTTTTACCATCAAAAATATAAAATCTCATTTTCCTGTAAAATACATAAAATTTCGTTTTCCTTTAAAATCTCAATTTTCCATCAAAAACATAAAATCTTGTTTTCCAATAAAATCTCTTTTTCACATCAAAACGTAAAATCTTGTTTTCCCGTCACAAACGTAAAATCTCGATTTCTCGTCAAAACCTAAAATCTCGTTTTTCCATCAAAAACCTAAAATCATGTTTTCCCGTGAAAAAACATAAAATCTCGTTTTCCCATCAAAAACATAAAATCTTGTTTTTCTGTTAAAAACCTAAAATCTCGTTCTCCCGTTAAAAACGTCAAATCTCGTTTTCTTGTCAAAAATATAAATTTTGTTTCACCATAAAAAACTTATAATCTCGTTTTCTCATAAAAACCTTAAATCTCGTTTTCTCGTTGAGAATATAAAATCTCATTTTCCTGTTAAAAATATAAAATCTCATTTTCCATTAAAAACGTAAAATCTTGATTTCCCGTGAAAAAATAAAAAATATCGTTTTTGCGTAAAAAAAACATAAAATCTCGTTTTCCCATCGAAAACCTAAAATCTTATTTTTCGTAAAAAAACTTAAAACCTCGTTTTCTAGTAAAAAACATAAAATCACGTTTTACCGTAAAAAACGTAAAATATCGTTTTCCCATAAAAAATGTTAAATTTTGTTTTCCCATTAAAAACGTAAAATATTGTTTTCTCGTTAAAACATAAAATCTCATTTTTCATTAAAAACGTAAAATCTTTTTTTTCGTGAAAAAACATAAAATCTCGTTTAAATCTCTTCTATACAAAAGAAAGTTTTAGTTTTACCAAAAATGTAAAAATGTTAATCTAATATATTTGAAATTCAATTAGATTTATAAAATTATAATTTGATAAAATTAATATTTTAATAATTTTGTTGTTAAAAAATTAAGATAAAGATAGATATCTTCAGATTCGCAGGTATATATCCCACCGTTACAATCAGTCGGCTCCTAACTGCAGCCGGAAAATGTTTAACCCTAATTACGCTTCTTCTGTGGAAACCATGCCCTCATCTCACGACGAACCCATGTCCGCCGAGATCTCTCCCGTCGAGACCAAGTCCTCCGGTAAGATCTCTCTTTCTTTCTCTCTCTCTCTCTCTCTTTCTCTCTCTCTCTCTCTCTCTCTCTCTCTCTCTCTCTGTTAAGGACCATCTCATACGATCGATCTGCGAGAATAATACATGATCGATCTGATTGCTTATGCGTTCCCTGTTTTTTAAAACCTTACTCGCAGGGTCTAGCATACCTGTCTTCTGGGACTTGGTGGATTTCCCCTTCCCCCGTGGTCTCGATCCTGTTTCGATTTATCAGAATTTGAAAACAATTCTTCAGAATATGGGTTGTGTTGGTGACTTGTCATTCATGGCTTATGTGGATGAGGAAAACTTGAGGGATGAATGGCGCGATGTTGCCTATAAGAATGCCGGAATCAACATTTTTGTTGTTCCCCCACAAGGTGAATTCTCGCATCTATGTGTCTAATAATGGTCTTTATTCCTTTTGTCTCTTATATTCTTGACTGACGTTTATTTGTACTTTCAGGGGATGTCTATAATGATATACATAATAGTATGCTACTCGACATTGTTTTGTGGGCAATGGAAAATCGTTCGGACCATTCTGATCCATTGAGTATGCTGGTAATCGTAGGAGATATCTTCATGACTTTCTACGCTGCCCTTAAAGCTTTGGAAGATAGATATTACAATGTTCTCTTAGCACTCCCGAATTATATTTCATCATCAGTGATACCTACTCTAAGCCTTGAATGGCTTTCGAAAGGCCTGTCACATGAATTTAGTCTTCCCAACCATGGCATAACTCTACCGCATAAGCCAAAGAGCAGAGAGGAGAATGTTAGTTTCGTTGCATCCCGAAGATATGGCTGGTAAGATCTCTCTCTTCCCCGAAATTGCTTCTCTGTTTATATATTTGAAATGTTCAAAATCATTATCGTGATATAATTTTTTATACGTTGTCTTATTGTGTAGGGTGGTTTGAGACAGACATCTTCTGGGATGTCCAGGGTTGCCCATGTGATATTTCGACTCTCGGCTCAGATCTCATCAGCAAGGGTTATACTGATAATGTGTTAATCAGGCCTTACATTGGTACAGATTACGAGGGTGCTGTAACCGCAGGTAATTATCGTTGCACGCCTGAAGTCGTAATCCACGGTGAGTTCCTCCACTAATTTTCTCGTTTTTTATTGTTTATGTCTGTTAATCTTGGATCTGCGTTGATATTTGTTTTATTTTCCAGGGGAAAATGATCTGAAAGTTATGAGGATGTTACTGGACATTGTTTTCTGGGCAATGAACTACGATGATGTACCACAAAATTTGATGATGCTATTCTCAAAACCTTCATCAAAAGACACCAAGTGCGAACGTGTTCTCCAAGCCTTGGAACGCAGAGGTTTCAATGTTATCTTAAGACCCTGTGCTGAGATAGATACATCTACCATTGTCAGCTTTGAGCAGCTTTGTGAAGAAAAGCCTACCAACCAAAGCGTTAATTCACTAGGTCGCAGTGTAGAGAGTGAACGACTTGCATGTAAGATTTATATCTCTTGTGAAATTGTTTGTCTAGCTGTCTATATCTTGATTATATTTCATTGATCGATCTGTCATTGTAAATTTTTCTAGTTGATTGATCTTAATCAAAATTGTATTGATCATCGATCTAATTGTTTGTGTTGTTTGACAGCGCAACCGGTGCTCGTCTTCTGGTTGGTCGATGATTGCCCACCCAAACCTAGTGAGACTTGGTATAATGTCATGTCAACTCTTAGAGCGAAGGGTTATCCTTATGGTGCTGAGTCGATGACTGCTTATGGTAGTAAGAGTAAGATATCAAAAGAAATAGCCAGTGACTATCATAATGCTGGAGTTATTTTCAAAACCTTGGAGGAAGAATCTGAAAAGATTACTTTCTTGGCATTGGACATGATTGATTCGGCTGATTTACTTCATTGGCAACCAGCAAATTTCCTGGTAATCTCAAAACCCTTCAAAGACACTATGTTCGACCGTGCTCTTGGAATTTTGAAAGCCAATGGTTTCAATGTTCTCTTTGAACTGCCTGATTATATGTTCACATTTGGAAGCTCACTATGGTCTGCAAAAAGCCTCTTATATTGAAGTTGATGGAAGTTGTAGTGACGAGTACCCGAGTCCTGGAAAATGATCTTTACTATGAAGAATGACGGACGGACTGAGACGCTTTTTTTATTTTTTGTTCGATCTGTTTGTAACGTTTGATTGATCCTCTAACAATATCTATTATAGTATTTGTAGTATATGTGAAGTGAATTGCGGACACAAATTTTTGTGTCGTTTTGATTGTTTTGATTAATAAAAATGAAATTCTGATAGATTTAATTAGTTGATAATCGTGAAAATGAAATATTTTTTATTTATTAAATATTTTATAAAAGAAAATATGTCATAACTTCTTTTGTTATTATTTATAATAGAATCTTTATATTTTTATAATTAAATTTACAAAATTTATAGAATAACGATTATCTTTTAGTATTTTTTACAAGAAAATAAACTGTAGATTGTTTAAACGTATAAATATGAGCGCTTCCAACCAAACATCTCATAATTTACTAATTAGTTTTTCTATTAGAGTTTCGTGTTTATTTTGCTAGGGTTTTTATACTAAAAATTAATTTTTGGATTTCTTTAGAAAAGATTCATCATGTTTGTCTATTTGTATGCAAACCTAACTATGTGTTCATCTAAGTACAGCTTTGATCATCCATCTAAAGTCATCATCACTTGGCAAGTTCTGTCTACTGCTTCGGGTATATATCTAACTATTATCAAATTTAATAATAGTATATATACTCTCAACTTTTTTAACGAATTCTAAAAATTTATTTGACTATAGGTTTTGATAACCAGACTTATGCTCGCGGGTTAAGGTTTGTGTTGAAATCGCATCGTCAGAATATGGATCACAAAGAGATGACTGATTATCGTTACATAACTCCATACGTTTTCATGGATATCACAAAAAAAAGAATGTTGTACTTCTTTAGGTTATTGATGCAAGTTATAATACGTATAAGTAGTTGTTTTGTATTTGTAGGTTATCCATGCAAGCTACTTATGGATTCTGCTATCGACGAATGGAACTTGCGGACATATAATCCTATTATCGAAGGTAGTCCTGTCTATTAATCTTACAGTTTTGTACCTTTTGTAGTTCTATATCTTAGTTTTTCAGATACATACCTTTATTATATATTAATCTACGAACGTGTTCAAATTTTATGTAGATATTGATTCTGCGTATTATATATCTATTCTTGATCACAAGTTTTTAATCAAATGAGGTATTTCTGCTCTTCATGTAATATATTTTTGTTAATGATGTATATTAAATTTTATACGTATTTATGTTTGTTCTAATGTTTGTTTTGTGCATTTAGTTTCTGATCGTGTTAATACGAGCGATCATGCTCAGAAGACCTTTCTATGGGATTTTGCGAGGAGTGCTTGGGTTATGAATAAAGAATCTAATGGTTTCAATTCTTTGTTTTTTGTTTTGAACACCGTTTTTTTTTTTAGAATACTAATTACGCCGTTTTTTCATATATTTATCTATGCAGAAAATAGTGACTTTGATGATACCAAGATGTTATCTGGTCGTGGTACTGATGATGATTATGATTTTGAGGATTATATGGGGTCTGATTCAGAGACGCGCGATGATACTGATGATATGGACCAAACAGATGAATATGATTCTGAAGATGATTTTATTGATGACGATGAGTCTTGTGAAGGATATGATGGTTCAAGTGATAACTCAGAAGGTGATAGCGGTGATGACGAAGATGAAGATGATGACGATGCTGATTCAACTGATGATGATGAAGATGATGATGAAGATGTTATGTTGGATGATGAGACTGAGATTGACGATGATAGTGAAGATCAGCGAAACGTCGAACTGAGTGATATACTCATCGAAAAGAATATTAGTATATCTGGACACCAGAATTCGGTGTGTACTTGATAACACCGTATTTTGACCACTTTTATGAATCGTTTTGAAATTCTTTTTTTTTTATTATCTTTTTAATTGTTTTAAGTACTTTTATTACGTTTTTCTAGTATTTGTAGTTCCAAGACTCTTTTCAGGTAAGTTAGGAAAAATCTTAACAAAATGGATAGAAAACCAGATTTCAGCTCAGAGTCAAACCGACAGAAGTTCACCCCTGATTGAAGGCCTTTTCACCGTTTGATCCAGCTCAAATTTGGAGACCATAAAGATGGAAGTATCAGATTTCCAGCACACTTTACAGCTTGGCAATCCAACGGTTCAATCAAAAGATACGCGAAGAGCAAGATGTCCCGTAAACCAGCCGGCAAGCGTTTCCACCCGCGGCCAACAGGCCATTTCCCGCGGTAAGAAGCATCCCGATCGCGACCAGCCATCCATTTCCCGCGGTCACAGCCATCCCGACCGCGGCCAGCGAACTCCGAGCCCGAAGGCCCATTTCTGAAGCCCAAAATGATTCCCTCATTTAGAGAAACCCTAAGTGACGCCCAGAGATGTCTTGAGCACTATAAATACATGTCTTAGGAACCCTACATCGAGGATGCCTTCATTTTTCTTATTGTTTTAGAATACTTTTTAAGTTTTAGGTTTTAGGGAGAGAGAGATTTGTCTCTTGAACCCTTGTTCTTTCTTTTTCAATTTCGATTTCTATTCTACTTTTAATACTATGTTTTTGATTTCGTTCATCATGTCTGAGTAGTTTTATTGTTGGGATTAAGGCATTTTCGATGGGGATTTATATGCTTGATGAGGATTCCATGAGCTTTTGAGCCGAATCTTAGAACTTTTTCTTCTGAATTCGTTTTTATTGCATGAGAGTAGCGTCATGAACTACAATCTATCCAGATGCTTGGTGACACGAAAGTGTTCATCCGGTGTCAGATCTAGTTTAGGAGAGCAAAACAAACATAGGAGTGGAAACTTACCTATGGGCGATTTGTGAATGCTGACGAGTCTTAAACATAATGCATCTCTTCTTTTCCAGGGCAAGAGTGGAAACCTACTGGTCAGGGTTGAGAGAGATAGTTGTCTATGATCACGACAGTGGCGTATTCATACGTCTGTGACTCCAGTTCAAAATGTTTAAGCTAAGATCTTATCAAATTTACTCTCTAGCAATGTTTTAAATCTTTCGTACCCCTGAGAAAACTTCCCTGAAGCCCAGAACTTTCTTTCCTTATAGATTCACACCGTTTTTATTTCAAGCTTTAGTTCAATATTCTCATTCCTTTTTAATCGATTTTCATTTAAGCAATTAGATTAGCCGTTTTTCTCGTTTTTATCCATTTTCGTTAAGTTTAGTTATTAGGTCATTTTAGTTTCCGTATTTTCTCTTTAAGATTTGTTTTTACATTTTAAACACACCACCAAAACCCCCACAAAACCGTTTGGTTCTAGACTTCCTTACTTTATATTTCTTTCGAAGGCTTTTGCAGGAAAAGATTCTCCTTCCCTGTGGATTCGATCCCTAAGTACTACAATCGATCAGCTGTGCACTTGCGGCTATTGATTTCATTTAATGTAAAACTTGACAACCCTCACACCAGCACACATCAAGTTTTTGGCGCCGTTGCCGGGGAAGTTACGCGTTTTCTTTTCCGCAAAACCCTAAGAAAGGTTGGTAAATCGACTCTAGAACCCCCTTTTCTGCATATTTCCATTTTTCGGTTATTTTGTTTCCATTTCAGATATATGAATCCTATAAATCGAAATACACACTATGAGGAAGGTTTCTATAACACTCCTCAAACCACCAGATGCAGAGAGAAGCAGTACTTACGCGATCTCTACGAAGAAATTCGATCCGAAGATTACAGAACGTTCCAGAACGAGCCATACGTTCCTCTAATGGTTAACCCTAGACATCCTGCTCGTCGTTTGTCTCACCAAGATGAAAACGTCCAACTCATTCACAGATTGAGTCAACTAGAGGTGGTGCTCATGCACTTAATCGACGCTCAAGCAACATCGAGAGCCGCCATTCACGAGAAAATTGACAACATGTCAACTCACTTTAACAAAAAGCTTGAAGATCCTTCTGCTCAAGTTAAAATCATCGAGACTCAAGCAAACAAGGATGCTGAGACTATCAAGGAGAGGATAGAAGCAGTCGAAGGACGAGTTGGAGAAAACGAAGTTCGGATTCGCAAATCCAGTGGGAACATCCGTACCTTAGAGGTCAAGCTTGATGAAGCAGAAGAAACTATTAACGACCATAACAACCAAACCTACTCCTACGTGGAAGAGATTTGGGATGGAGTACACAAGGTCCAAGACAAAGCAGAGGAAATCGACTCAACCATGGACAAAGTAGTCTATGCTCTTGATGAAGTCAAAGAGAAGGTCGAAAAGCTTATGCAAGGACGTGAAACGAATGGTTCGACGCTCCCCATCAAAGATCTTAGCCTAAAAGAGGAGGAAACAGAGTTAGAAGATCCAGAAATCAGTTTAGATGGCAAAGGAGAAGATGAAACAGAGGAAACAGTTCGGAGTCTCTCTCCCGCGGTCGGAACTCCTGCAACCGCGGCCAACAACCCTCCAGCCGCGGTCGTGAGCCTCCTGACCGCGGCAAAACACTCCCCACCCGCGGTCGTGCAACCTCCACCCGCGGCAAATGCTCCATCAGATGCGTTTCAGCCCCTTTCTATTCTTACAGGTCAATGTTCATTGGATACATCTGCTGGGATGGTAAAAACCCCTCTTCATGAGCAAACAGTGTATGATATCAGCTCCAAAACATCTAAGGAAGAAGATGAGGTACTTCATTGCAACATAGTTTTAGCATATGAGGATGAATATGAAGAGCAGTACCTCGAAAATGAAGACTATCGTCTGTTCATAGTAGGAGGCAATCCAGACAAAATGGTGGAATTAGGAGCACCAATCTCCAGAGAAAGACTCATTGAATTCAACAAGTTTGTGAACTCGATCCCTCTTTACATAGGTTTCGATGATATATGGCGTCTTGGTTGTTTGCAAGTTTTCTTTAGGTACAGCAAGGAGACAAATGAGGTATTAGAACCTATTTTGGGAGGGCCAGACGTCTGACTTTTCCCAGAACATCACCTGATGCTGCAATCTATGCGATTCACCTCAAAAAGCCGGAAGACTGCAGCCACTACACCAACAAAATCAGCAAGGAAAAGCTCGACAAATTCAATGATGTGGTTCGAAATTTGCCTGAAGGAATTACCTTTGCCAGAGCTTGCAAGGACTTCATGATAGGCCACTACTTCTGTGAGAGCAAGGAATCAATCCCTGAGATAAAAGACTTGTTCAACCATGCCAGAAGAGGTAAACCTGTTCGAACACTTCACAAAATTGAAGGTGTAGGTCAGTTTCTTATCTCTTGTTCTATTAGAGGAGAAATGTTTAAAAACGTGCTATGTGATTCTGAAGCTTGTCTTAACATGATGTCCAAGGCAATTGCTTTGAGACTTGGTATTAAACACCTGCGCAGGACTAGAGCAAAGATTAGTCTAGCTGATGATTCAAATGCAACACCTCAAGGAATAACTCATGAAATTCCTTTGAGAATAGGAGATTACATCGTGCCTGTCGACTTCTACATTGTCGAAACGAAAGATGCAACATATTCAGTGATTCTCGGATGGTCTTTTCTAGCAACTTCCGGAGCTATAATGGACTGGCCAAACCGGAGGATTTCATTTGCTAATATCGACAAAGATGTCTTCACAGAAGCTGTTCCATACAATAGCAAAGCAGAAAAACGTTCTGCAACAGAAGAGTTTAAAGAAGAACTTTGGAGTGACGAAGAACCTGCTAGGCAAAGCAAGGAGATGTCGAAAAAGACTTGTCTCAGGACAAGGTCTTCTTCATCGGACCTACCCACGTCCAACACCAAAAGTCGAGCTAAATGACTTAAAACAGAAGCGCTTAATGAGAGGAAACCCATTTAGGTATTGTTTTCTTTAGGATTTTTCTTTCTTTTTCTTTTGATTTTTTTTCTTTTTCTTTTGATTTTTTTTCTTTTTCTTAGTGTCAGGTGTTTCTTATAAAACAAAAAAGCCAAAAAAATCAAAAACCCGAAAAAACCAAAAAGAAGGATGGTCCCTGACTGCTCGGCCCAGCAGGAACCAAGGAGAAGCAGGAAGAGGCCGTGAAATAAGCCCCCGCAGTCGCAGTTGTTCTGACCGCGGTCGCGTCTTCTTAATCGCGGCCAAGCACAGGTTTGCCGCGGTCGCGTGACTCCTGACGGCGGCAATTGGTCGTTGAGATCAAACCCGACCCCAAACCACCCACTTCACCTCATTTCACCTCACCAATCCCCACTCCACCTCATTCATCACCCCCACCACCTTCATCACCACCTATCACCTTCCCTAATCTCTTCGAATGAATCTGGTTCATCTCCACCAGCATCCCGGATCCAGGTAAGTTCTCTTTGTCCTTACTAATTCGATTATCTATGCATTTTTCTCATCCAATCTCGACTTGTTTCACACTGAGGACAGTGTGATTTAAGTCTGGGGGAGGATTTCATCCCTTTCTAAACACTTTTCTTTCATGAGTCTTGCATTATCTACACTTTTTGCATTTTCTTTAAAGTTTTTCAAAATCGGTTTTCAAAACAAAATACATTTTAAAAGGGAATGGTGAACATGAATCAATGATAGTTGACTGTGTGCTTTTAGACTGTTCGTAGTGACAGGGTCATTCATGATTTAGGACTAGACTAGGAGGTAGCTAAGCACATTTGAAACTAAGTACCCAGAGGAATTTGAATGATTTCGATTTAGATGAAGAGATACACTAGCTCTGTTTTATTTGGACTTAATTTGGACTTAATTTGGACTTAATTTTCTCATTGAAGCATTAGACCAGGGAAACGAATCATACATTCAGGACTCCTTTATCCTTTTACCACTCTCTGTTGTCATGAAAGGCTAGTTCATCTTTAGCTAGTTCCCCACCTTAAGCAGTCCTCTTTCAAA